TTGTACGGTACTTCCTGATTCAAGTGTGCTTAGTTGCTTAATCTTTCCAGGGGATATCGGAACGTTGCTTCTGAGGTTGCATACGGTCACGAACTACTTTACTGGAGACACTGTTGCGTCTTTGAGTCATGTGCTGGCAGTTCGTCAAAGTAAAAGTCCTCTGCTCTTTTAAAGGTCTAGTGCAGTGGTTCTCAAATGGTGTGAGTGTGTGACACATCAAAGCCCTGATTGGCTGCCAGTGTGACAGATGATAACATTTAAAGGGAGAAAGCCGTGGGTGGGATCGATTTATGGTACGGAGCAAATTACAACAAAGCACCAGCAAAGACGACCTACCACCGAAAGAAAAGAGACCGTATCACGAAAGCTACCTGCCTTGAGATTTTGGCTTGCCCTTTGGTGTGTCTTGGGCACAAAACATTTGAAAACCACTGGTCTAGTGTGAAGGATTTAGTGGCAGGTGAGGTTGCAAGTTGCAACCAACCGAAACTTCTCCCGTGTGCCAAAGTTCAGGGGGAACTAAAGGTCCTCCTCTAAGAAATTTGGGGCATCAAACACCTAATTCCCTGCACTCTGGTGAATTTTTATGCACCAATTTATGGTGGAAATGTCATTCTGATTCAATCGTGCATAGTTGCTTCATATGCCTTCTATCTCACGGCAGATTGAGGTTGCATACTGCTATGAAGTACTTTACCAGAGGCATTGTTGCATCTTCGAGTCATGTTCTAGTAGTTTGTCAAAATTGAAGTCCTACACTACGTTTAAGGTGTAGTGTGAAGGATTTAGTGGCATCAAGCAACCAACTGAACTTCTCCCGTATGCCAACATTTGGGGGAAGTACGGTGGCCAACGCAAAAATGCTGATGGCCCTGTCTAAAGTCAGTGTTTGGTTGGTCAGTGGGAGAGGACTATGAACGGCTCGTTCTAAGGTGACGAAAACACAATGATTTTTAGTTTCAGGTGATACATTTTACACTCCATTTCTGCTAATACAACCCCTTAAATCCCACACACTGGACCTTTAATGTCTTATTCGGGGGCATGTGCCCCCTGCGTCCCCCCCAGAATCTACACCTATGATCCTGCGTACAGCTGTTCCTATAAAGCCAAAGACACCTGGAATGCTGCGTCACTGGGGCTTTGCAAGTTTCAATTAGGTCAGTTGTGGCTTTTCATAGGTGTTTAGGCAGCTACATTTTGTAGGTTAAAACAAATGAGGCCAGAGGCAAAGTACCGCATTTCCATATTGGTTTCCTGATCTTCCTGGAGCCTGAAGGGCAATCACATCCTATGTTTTGGCTACAAACACCATCCAGGTGACCTCCTTTTGCATGGTTATGTTGTTTGTCCTATGCGGAGGAGGCGGGTGAGGATTTGCCCTATGCAAATCAGATCCTCCTCGCTCGGCTGTATGCGGCTCATGCTGGAGAGATTGCAGCTACAATAAGGCACAGGAGGAACAGCTGGCCAGAGCACGGGGGGTGAACACCAGGGGCTGGGTTAAGGACAATGTCCAGTTATGCTTGCTGCATGGGCCCTGAGGCAGAATAACCTGGTATAAGTGTGTGGAGCGGGGGCTTTGCCTGCCCTGAGGGGCTGCGCTGCGAGAGCACAGAATACAAGCTGCTGTGGCTCACCACTGATTAAAAGTGATCCACCTGGGCACGAGTGGCGCTTTGAAGTGCAATTATAAAACAAAGGCTGATGGCTTGTGCTAATTCGATGGCTAAGTGATTTCATTCCTCACTACATTACGGCTGGACAGCATTATTTTCTGGCACTGGACAGAACAGAAGCTACTGCCAAAAGTAATAAAGTTAAGTGTTCTGTTAAGTGCACGCACTACTCACCAGCCTTCACATATAAGGATCAGACACGGGTGTGCAAGGAGCAGAAAGGCCGAGCTACATGTAGCGAAAAACAGCAAAAAAAAAATACGACTAAAATAAGTTGCAATCAGAGGAGTAACAGGAAGAGATGAAATGTCAAGTCTGTTGCCCCTCCTGCTTGAGCCCTCAGCAGATGCTGGGTGACACGCTGGCTTCTCCCTCACAGTTAGATCAGCTTAATGACTGTTTAAATGTCTGACGGGCTAAAAAGAAAGGCTCGCCTCGCCGATAAACTCCCTCAGTTGCCTGGTTACCTGCCCGAGCAGGTTGCCTGTGCAGTCATTGTAAGATTAGGTAGGCGAGGAGAGAGAAAGACGGAACCCGATACCTCGGGGATTACAGTCAATGGTCAGCACTATTCTCCCTCTTCCCCCTCCCCGTCTTTTCTCTCTATCTTTCCACCCCGAGTCCCTTGTGAAACAGTGGGGGCCATTCTCTGCGCGGCTAACAGGGCCGTCTTTCTTGTGCCTGTCTCTATCTCTTCCCACAGACGGACAAAAAGAGGGGGAGTGGTGAAAGAGAAGGGGTTTGTGGGCGAGGGAGTGCTCGCACATATCATCACTTGTAATAAATCTTAACCAAGCAGGTTCGACGGTGTTTGGGGCCAGTGGTGGAGCTTTGCGTAGGTGACGTAGACAGCTCCTGGGGGGGCACCAGAACTGACAATTTAGACACGAGCATTAGAGAAAGAGAAAATGACATGTTTATCTGTGATGATTTCTCATTAGCTCTTGTTTCTGTTTAATAAACACAGTAAATGTAGAGTATTTCATGGGGAGGCACCAGGGGAACCGAATGTCCTAGGTGCAGCTCTGTTTGAGGCCAAATGTGCCACAAAAAGATAAAATGAAAACACAAACTCAATACGAGCCCATCTCGAGGAAGTAAAACTAAGAAAACATAATAAAAATATAACCTTAATGCTATTCATTGACGGCTCCATTTCCCACCACTAATCCAAATCTTGCACAAATTGTTCCCTTAACTGAGAAACACGAGTGTCCTTGAGTGTTTTATTATGTCTTTAAGCTGTAGTGGCACTTACGGAATATTTCTAGATCCCTAAAAGCGAGAGCATGACCGCTCCGCTACTTAATCTAATACAGAGGTGGCCGTTTAATGCCATAATTGGAGCACATGAACACACACCTTCTCTTCAATTAGCTCTCTTGTGCAGCCATTAAATTACACTCCATTCACCCCAACAGAACGTATCAACAGTGAGTATTTACCGAGCCCGTGGGATATAAAAGGCAATTTGAATACCTGCTAGCTATTGTATATTAAATACCTAACAGGCTGCACCACACAATAAACACGGATGATATCGCCCAGCAGACCAGTAAACACTTTCTTCACCATTACAATTTAAATATCCAGGAATCACAAGGAAATGCTCTTTTTGCATTATGTTTTTTTTTCCCTCCATGACACCACCTTCTAACAAACGCACAGTCCATAAAAGTTACCGCAGCATTAATGTAGAGAGTAAATAAATAATTATATAAGTGGAGCATAGTGACACACAATACATGCTGCTGCCGCAGCAGCAAATAGAGTGCCCTTTTAATTATGCAGGAGACATCCGAAAGCAACAGCACTCCTCACACTCTGGGAAGCAGCTCAGTGAACACACCATATTAGAAGCTGTTAGAGACAGAGCAGGGGGAAGAGAAGGGATAGAAGTAAAAGGGGGGAGTGAAATGATTTGAGAGGAGTAATAGCGAGAGGGAGGGGAAGAGGGGATATAGAGAGATGAGAGTGGAGATTTAAAAAAGAAACCACTGCGAGAAAAAAGGCAAGGCGGAGAGGGCATTGTAGGATGTGGCTGCAAAAACAGGAGCACAGAGAGGGGAAGGCGTGCGAGGATGCAGGGCCGGTTGGTATAGAATAAATAAAGGTGAACAAAGAGATATCTGGAGGAGAAGAAACAAAAAAATTGGGCGAGGAAAAAAAAAGAGGCAACAATCCAGCTGAGAGAAAACAGCACTCCAGAATTCTAAAGTAGTAGTGCTGACACCAAGTAAAAGAAAGATCAATAATTCATTAGACTGCCATAGAAAACACATAAAACAATAGTGTTCTTTTTTCCTGCAAATCAGCTGACTTCATTATGTCTTTGTTTCTCGCTGTTGTTGCACATCACAGCGGAAAAACAGCCAAAAAAATATAAAGACTGAACTGATAAAAGCCCACATTTGAATATCACATCATGCCACCTACACCCTTTTTTTTTTCTACCGCTCTGCAAATGGAAGAGAAGAGTTACTGGGAGGGAGAGGAGGGAGGAAGGGAGACAAGAAGGGAGGTAGCTGGAGGGTCGATGGAGGAGTGGGAGAAAAGCAGGTAGAAGACGGCAGACATTTATATATACGAGGGAAACAGATAAAGGGAGTAAAGAGGAGGCACAATATGGAAGGTGATATAAAAACGTTTAATTTCACAGCGAGGTCAATGAATTGATGCGGACCCCCGAGTGCAGGAGAATGTTAATATGACCTCCTGGCCAGATGTTCCTACTCAAGCCGAGACTGTAAAACTGACTCACAAAGCCATGTTTGTGCTGCCGACATCTACCTTTCTCTGTCTTATCCTCCTGAAGACAAGGCAGCCTTGTCGCAGGCTTGAAGGGGCAGGGCAGGGCCTGACAAGGGGGAGTGTACCCCGGCCCCTGGCAGGCTCCCCTCTGGGATAAAATAACTGCAAACCAAACCCTTATGTGAGCTGTCTGCAACACTCCAACACACGGCTGCTGAGGTTAGCAGACGTGACACGGCAGACGGTAAAAAGGCAACACATGCCGTGATGAAAGGGGGGAAAGCTGGACGCGTTCGTTCGAGGGGTAACAATACCCCTTTCGTAGGCTAATCTAAACCTTTCTCTTCCTTTTCAATATTACATGTGAATGGCACTCCAAACCAAAACAGATCAATACCGCTAACTTGACACACATTAGCACCATAAAGGCAACAAGACTACTGAGACTAGCCCTGTCAGAAAGCATTATGGTGGAGAGAACACTAAGAGGAAGAAACAGAAGACATTTAAGAGTGGTGGAGGGAAGGAAGGAAGGAAAAAAAAAAAGAACATGGAGACGTGTCTTCTTACCTGTTTGTTGTACTTGTTGATAGTTTGACTGCTGTATTCGGAGCAGTGGTCAGATCCAAGGGAAATGTTATCTCCGGTGCCAACAAAGGTGTTGGCAGGGGGCAGGTCCTGAACCGCCTGGTGCTTTTTCCCAGCCGTCGGCGATTGCGGGTGAAGCTGGACAGTGGGGAGCGGGGAGCTGGACTTGTAGTGCCGGGCCAGATCTGGGCTCCCCGGCCCTCCGTTGACCGAACGGTAGCGGCCCATGCCGGGGCTGTCCGAGAGCTTCTCGTTGACGCCGTCGTAGCGCTGCCCGTTGGGTTTGGAGGCCTCCACGGTGACGATGCTGCTGTAGAGCGGCTGTTTGGACTTCTGTTTCTTCTTGTCTTTCTTGGGCTTCTTGGACTTGTCGTGCTGCTGTGGCGTGAAGAAGTCCTCGTGGTCCTTCTTGCCGGCCTCGTAGCCGTTCTTATTCTTGGGGCGGCAATAACGAGCCATGACCACGACTAGAATAATAAGAATGACCGTCATGATGCCTGAAACGACTCCGATTACGATGCTCAGCCGCTGTTTGCTTAGGTCATAGTTGGGGTCGCCGGCGATGTTGGTGTTCAGGGACGTGCTCAGGCTCTTTGCCACCTGGGCCTCCACAACTGTTGAGTTGGAAAGAGTCTCGTTGACGTACACGTGCACGAGCGTGGTGGTGCTCTGAGAAGGCTGGCCGCTGTCGTTCACCTGGATGACCAGCCTGTGGAGGCCGTAGTGCTTCTGCTCCAGCTTCCCCACCAGCGAAATGACCCCAGTGCCCCCGTCAATCTCAAACAGCTTGAAGGGGTTCCCCCCAATGATGCTGTAGTTCAAGTCGGCGTTGATGCCAGTGTCTGTATCAGTTGCTATGACAGTCCTGACTACTGTTCTGATGTTGCTGGAGGGAGGGAGGAGGGTGTAGGAGCTGTTTATTGGGAAAGTGACAGTGGGTGCGTTGTCGTTCTCATCCATGACAAAGAGTGAAACTGTGGCGGTGGCAGATCTGGGGGGGTCGCCACCGTCCACAGCTTTGACACGGAAGGTGTAGGTAGTTTTCTGCTCTCTGTCAAACGACAGGGTGGAGAAAATAGTCCCAGTGTCGTTCTCAATAGAAAAGATATCCTCCTCTTCCTCAATAAAAAGGCTCATCTCTGCATTTTGGCCCTTATCTGCGTCTATGACCGTGACCATGCCGACTGGGCTGTTTGGTTCTAGGTTCTCTTTGACGTAGAAGGTGAACACATCCTGCATGAACTTTGGCTCGTTGTCATTCTTGTCAGCCACGAGGACGACCACTGTCGCAGAGCCCTGTAGAGTGTTTATGCCCTTATCTTTGGCTATCACTTTGAATTCGTAGCGCTCTGTTTGCTCTCTATCCAGAATGGTGTTTACTCGGATGTCTCCACTGTCTGCATCGATAGAGAAAATCCCATTTACCGACGAGTCCAGGGAGTAGGCGATTTCAGCATTCTTCCCACTATCTGCGTCGATGGCCGCCACTGTTGTCACCCTCTCGCCAGGAGCATTGTTTTCAGGGAACGACACCTCTACTACATTCTGGCTGAAGATAGGAGGGTTGTCGTTAGTGTCGCCCACTTTGACGATAAGAGAGTTATTACTTGCGAGGCTGGGGCTCCCAGAGTCCACAGCCACTATGACCACATTGTATTCCTGTGTGGCCTCGTAGTCCAGCGGTGCAGACGTGTGCAGGAAGTATTTCTTTTTATTCTGCTCACCCTCCATCTCACTGGCTGGTTTCAGCTGAAAGGGAACATCCCCGACAACAGTGCAGGTCACAATGCCGTTCTCCCCCTGGTCTCGGTCTGACACCTGAACCAAGGCGATGGGTGTGTCCACCACCACGTCCTCAGCCACGTTGGCGATGCCATCTTTCAAGAAAATGCGCCCAATTTTCCGTATCTCTATCGCAGGGACGTTGTCGTTCTCATCCTTGATGTTCAGCACCACAGTGGCCTTGTCCATTTTGGGCGGCTGGCCTCGGTCACGGGCCATTACCGTGAACCTCAGTTGGCTCACTTCTTCACGGTCGATGCGGTGCAACACACTCAGCCACCCTGTGTTCTCATCCAACCTCAGCAGCCTCCTCACTGACTCCGTGGCTGCACCGAACACATACTCTATTTGACCGTTAACCCCCACGTCTGCGTCAGCCGCTTTGAGCTGCAGTATGGGGGCACCGGGGGAGCTGTTCTCCGGCAGGTCAGCTTCATACACGCTCTTCTCAAAGCGAGGGTTGTTGTCATTCACGTCAGTGATCATCACTCTCAGAATGGCCTGCGAGGAGCGAGGGGGATCTCCTCCATCCCTGACACGCAGCGTGAGCTCATAGGAGTCTCTCTGTTCCCTATCAAGGGCCCCTTTAATGATGAGTTGAGGCTGCTTCTCGCCATCAGTAGTGTCAGCAACTTGCAGTTCAAAGACGCTGCTCCTGCTCGCGCCTTCCTCAAATCTTCTCTTCCCAGAGAATGAATCCCCAGAAGAGCCCAAGCGCCTTGAGTTCTCCCCATTGTCCTGGATAAGCTCGTATCTCTCTATTCCATTTCTGCCAAAATCTCTGTCTGTGGCTGTGGGCAGCAGATAAAGGGTTCCAATTGGTCTGTTTTCCTCCACAGACAGTGTCAGGACAGGGGAAGGGAAAGACGGGGTGTTATCGTTTATATCTAATATGATGACTTTCCCCTCAAAGAGGTCGACCCAGCTCTGGGCCGGTCCAATCACTGACACTTCAAAATCTATAAAGCACTCGTTCTCATCAAAGATCATTTGGCACTGCTGTAATTTTTCACGGTCTATGCGCCTCTCGTTGGTGGTGAGCTCACCTGTGATGTTGTCTATTTTGAAAAAATCAGAGCCCGACTCCAGCGTGAATGTCACCTCGCCTGAGCCGGCGACGATGCCCAGGTCGCCGGCTACGTTCCCGACTCTGACATCGGCGGGTCCCTCCTCGGCCAAACGGTACCGGAGCACTTGCTTGGCAGCGGGCTGATGCACAAGCTGCAGGATGAGCATGCAATAGTACAAATAGTCCACTGCACCAGTAGTCCTCATTGTTCTCCAATGCAAAAAAATGTCCACTTAGGTGTGAAAAAAATGTCCAGAGAATAAAAAAAAATAATCACCAATAGAGAGTCCAGATATGGAGGTTAAAAAAAAATGTGTTCATAAAGAGCAAAGCCCTCTGCTGCGGGATGCGTGAGACTTCATCCTCCGGACGACTTCCTACATCGCTCCTGCTGCAGTGCAAAGCAGCAAGTGCACGGGCTTCTCGTCTGCTCTCTGCTTTTCCTCCTCCAGCTCTGGGTGTTAGTTGCTCTTTCCTTCTTTTAGTATCAAAAATAAAAACACCGCAATGATATCAAAAAACACTCACCAGACAGAGGCTCCGTGCGCTCCCGCGAATCTCTCAATATCATGCGCGTAAAAGCCAAAAATTATAGTCCGAGCATCACATCACCAGAAAGTGAATTCAGTCCATATCCCGCCGTTTTACTCACAGTTTGTGGCTACAATCTCCTCTCTTTTTTTGGGGTGAGGCTGCAAAAATCCCAGCGTCCACACAGGATTATTTAAATACCCGCGCAGTTTTTTCCACCCTCCAAACTCGGTGAGTGTTGCCTGCGCGGAGCCTGTCAACTCTCCGATCTCTGAGGATGTGAATATGAAGCAAATTACCTGTCCGGCTGCTCTTCCTCCAAGTCACTTGCAGCCAGCACGCATACTTCTCTCCTCTCTGCTTTTATTTAGTGTGCAACTCCACAGCGCAAAGCAAAGAAGACAGAAAAAAGAAAGGGATTCACAAAAATGTATATCCGCAGTTTGTTTTTTTTCTTGAATCAGGAAACGTCGGATGAATTCCTCAGTGTGTGTCCAGCACATTCAGCCTGTTCCCTCACCTGCAGACGCGCCGCATGTGTTGGCAGCCCCTATCTGCAGCACTGTGAGAGGGATTCACAAATGATATTGCAGTCTCTCCCTCTCTCTCCTTCTCTCTCCACCTCCCTCCGGTTTCTCCCCCCAACCCCCCCTCCTCCTCCTCCTCCTCCTCCTCCTCCACCACCATCCACCCTCCTCCTCCTCCTCCAAGCAGCAGCAGCGGCAGCAGCGCGCACGTAAACAGGGTCGGACTTGGTCTTGATCGCCGGGTCCAGACGCCAGCAGACAATATTTGACAAAAAAGAAGGGGGCACAGAGGAGGGAGATGCCTCAGTAATGGTGGTTTTGGTAAAGCGGTGTGTTCTGGAGACGTGGCTCCGCACTTTGTGAGCACATCTCGGATGCTTCACGTGTATGTAACGCTCCTGTGGGCGATATGGCGATTTTTAAAAACCACAATTGCAACGTCTTTCACTTGATAATAAGAATCATTTCATTATGTGGTGTGACGCGGGGATGTTGCCGCAAGAGACGCCTCACACAGCCGAACTTTTACGCACCAAGTTGTGCTTTTAAATGTGACATGAAACAGTTCCAAAATCTCTGACACAGGCGAGACAGGACGGGACGGGACGGGGCTGGCTGTGTGCGCAGTGCCGTGGTTTCCCTGTGGTTACTAATATGAATGCGTGTGGTCGCCGGTGGCTCTCCGGCGCGGCGGGCTCGGTGTCTGTCTGTCCGTCTGTCTGTCTGTCTGTCTTTCGCCTGTTCAGTCCACTCAGCATCCAGGAATGTGAGACAGTAGCCATTTGAATGCATTTGCGCGGCGGGTTTCTCATTCGACCACTGCGCAAACCCAACTCCCTGTGCACAGATGAGTGTGCGCAGTGTGTGTCCTGCCACATGCAAGTCATGCGCAAACATTCATGTCATGCACGCGCTCACTGTGGTCAAATCCCCCCCCCCCCCCCCCCCCCCCCCATGGGCGCACCGTGTTTTGTGCGTAAATGTGCGCGCATGATTGCATGGATTCATATCAAGTACATTTGCTGCGTTAAGTGCAAAAATCAACTTGTGCTTTAACGCGCGTGCGTGAGGATCTCCTCCTCCTCCTCCTAACTTGGATTTGGGGATGCTCTCCGGTTTTGAACACAGGGACAGTGCGGCGCGGAGATTATACAGTGAATGAGTGAGTGAAGGAGTGAGGGGCAGAGTGGGATAGAGAGGAAGAGGAGGAGGAGGAGGAGGAGGGGGGGGGGGGGGGGGGGGGGGGGGAAGCAGCCAGTCTCAGCAGCTGCATCTTTCTCAGACGGCTGTCTGAATTCCAGCAGTGGCTTTATCCTTGCTAACTAGCGCCCTCTATCGTCGGATTAAACTCAAGCCTTCCTGTAGAGGTTGAAGTGGAAGTACAGCAGACTGTAAATCCAGCCATGTTGCACAGACACTATAGATGTGCTGTTTTCATCCGTTAGTTGCTCTGTTTCGCTCACAAGACGCTTTGTAGTATAAAATAATAGAAGCATACACAATAATGTTTGATCAGAGGGAGGGTGTGTTTTCAAATATGACTCAGAGGATGTGTATGAGTGAAGTGAGGCAGTTTTAATCATCATTTATTAGAGTAGAATATTTTATCAGAGGGAACTGGGCTGTAACTTTTCTCAGAATTATAGTGTTTTGTTCAGAAAATGTAGAATGATAGTGTGATTCATAGAGAATAAGGTTAAAATATATACACACTAAAAATGGCTGTTTAAAAGCTGATGTAGTTTGAGACATTATAGTAGGTATGGGTGATGCCATTCTTTTCTTTTACCTGATATGATTGTGGATGGATTATTGAACAGGTGTACCAGGCGTAGGCCCAGGGGCCCCAACTGTAAAGGCCCTGAGGCCTTGACCTGTAAAATGTTACTCAAATGAACATTTGCTGACCAGGAAGAGACTCAAAATGACCACAAAGAGATGCAAAGGAACTGTAAACAGACAAGACATAGGTACAAAAAAGGTGAAAACAATCAATAAGAGACACGAAACAACCAAAATATACACAAAATTACCCCAAAGAGATACAAAGTTACCTTAAAGGGACTTAAACAACCGAAAGGACACACATAACAGCTACAAAAAAGGGGAAAACAACCACTGAGAGACTCAACATGGCATTAAAGGGACAAAACAAGCACAATTAGACACAAAAACAAAACACAAAAAAGGGGAAACAACCAAAAATAAAACACCAAATACAAGCAAAATTATCTCAGTGAGACACAAAGTTACCTGAAAGGGACCTAAACCAACCCAAAAGGGACACAAAATGACCAAAAAATACATATAGTTCCCTCAAAGAGACACATTTTTTTTTTAAAGGGACCGAAAATGACCACAAAGAGACACAAACTGACCTTGATGAGACACAAAACAACTGCAAAAAGAAGCAAAATGACCAAAATATACACAAAGTTAACTCACAGATACACAAACTGACTTTAAAGGGATACAAAACAACCACAAGGACACACATAATAACTACAAAAAAGGGAAAACAACCATGAAAGACACAAAATGATAACTAAGCAACACAAAACAGCCACAAGGAGACACAAAATAACCACAACAAAAGCGGAAAACAACCAAAAAGAGACATAAAACAACCAAAATTATACACAACATTATTTCAAAGAGACATAAAGTTACCACACAGAGACACAAAATGACCTTAAAGGGACAAAACAGCTACAAAGAGACACAAAACAACCACAAAAAAGGGGAAAACAACCAAAAATAAGACACCAAACAACTAAATACATGCAAATTATCTCAGTCAGACACAAAGTTACTTCAAAGGGACCTAAACCAACCTAAAAGGGACACAAAATGACCAAAAAAATACATAAAGGTCCCTCAAAGAGATACAAAGTTTTCTTAAAGGGACCTAAAATGACTACGGAGAGACACACAATAACTACAAAAAGGGGGAAACAACCACAAGGAGACACGGGCAAGGCCAAGAAAGGTAATGTAGGTCAGGAACAGGAAAAGAAACAGGCGTTATCATATTACGTACTTATTGTAGAGTAATGTAGGCTAAAGTAGGTTGAATTCAGGGAAAACAAACATGGTCACAACATGCCTTTAGATAACCTAAAGGTCACTTGGTTTCACACAGGACATGAATCCTGATCTCCAGGGGGAAAGTCCTGTGTTTGTTTGACCCATCCACTACTACAACCGGCCTCCCTACACACGCGCTCTTTATGACCTTGACGGGACATAAAACAACTGCAAGAAGAGGCAAAATGACCACAAGGACACACAAAAAGACCCCAAAATACACAAAGTTAACTCATAGATACACAAAGTGACGTCACAGAGACACAAATTGATCTTAAAGGGACACAAAACAACCACAAGGACACACATAATAACTACAAAATAGGGAAAACAACCACACAAAGACACAAATAATCTTCATGGGACACAAAACAACTACAGGAGGACACAAAATGACCACAAGGACACACATAATAACTACAAATAAGGGAAAACAACCATGAAAGACACAAAATGGCCTTAAAAGGACACAAAATGATAACTAAGCAACACAAAACAGCCACAAGGAGACACAAAATAACCACAACAAATGGGGAAAACAACCAAAAAGAGGCATAAAACGACCAAAAATACACACAACATTATCTCAAAGAGACATAAAGTTACCACTCAGAGACACAAAATGACCTTTGAAACAAAGAGGCACAATATAACTACAAAAAAGGGGAAAACAACCATAAAGGTACCCAAAGGGACCCAAAACAACCACAAAAGAGACACAAAAGTACCTCACAGAGACACAAAATGGTCGCAGGGACACACATAATGACGACAAAAAGGAAAAGCACCCACAAAAAGACAAAAATGACTTTGATGGGACAAAAAACAATGATAAGATGACACAAAATGACCACAACAAAAAGGGAAAACGACCAAAGAATTATCCAAAATGGCCTCATCTGTACCCAGGGGCCTGTTGTCTCGTTACAGTTTTGACAATATGGACACTGCTCATTTCTTTAAAGGGTCTGTGACTTTTTAAAATAACAGTCAGTAATGAGTGTATATGTTTCTAAATGTTAATGAATAGCTTCCTTGTGTTGCTGCTCGCAGGTGGTTTCTCGACACAAATAGTACGTCTTGCTATGTTTTTATCTAGAAGGTGAAATGTCTCACCACACCACGCTACTCTTCCTTTCTGCCATTCTTTCACATGTTTGATGCAGAAGTGTCAGACAGTTCAGCTGCTCTGATGTCACTCAGGTTTCCACAGTCAAATCCAAGTGAAAATCAGGGCTGCTGTTGTACAAATATTATACAAAAACCTGAAAACTTTTATATTTGTTTAATTTTATTATCAATTTTTTATATCTAAAGAAATCAATTTGAAATGAGTAGCTTGTGAGTATCGAAGTTGTACAAAACAATCCAACATATCCTTATACAACGGTTCATATATCTAACAAGCACCCCACAAATGGCATTGTCACGTTATGTACTTAATGTAAAGTTACTTATCTAACACAAAGTTAAGTAAGTTAGTTTAAGGCAAGTACAGTTACGTAGTTTAGGTTTAAGAAAAAAAACATGGTTGGGCATGGGCACATTACATAATTAACGTAAAGTTAAGTACTTAATCTAAAGTTACATTGATCGTGTTTTTGCAAGTTAAGTTACGTAGGTTAGGACTGGGAACAAAAGAAACATGGTTGGGCATTGTTACGTTACATGATTACTGTAAAGTTATATACTTAACGTAAAGTAACATAGGTTAGGTTTAGGCAAGAAAAGCTACATAAGTCAGGTTTAAGAAAAAGAAACGTGGTTGGGCATCATCACGCTATATAACTCACATGAAGTTGCATGTTTAATGTAAAATTATATATTTAACATGAATTTACGTAGGTTAAGCTCAGCCAAGGATAGTTACATAAGTCACATTTAGGAAAAGAAACATGTTTGGGCATCATCACGTCACGTACTTAACATAAAGTTACATACTTAATGTAAAGTTACAAAGGTTTCATCAAGTAAAGTTACA